AGTTCCCTGAGAATCCAGACTAGCTTCACATAAGACTTCAGGCACCCCCTCCATTTTGCCCATCCCCCTTCTAATTCTATGGGCAACATCCTCCTCAATCTCTCCCTTGTTATAAATTATCAAACCAAGGTACCCGGAAAAGGTCACATTGCATTATCTCTTGATCTCCAATCCTAAATCTAAGTGTATCCTCATTTGCACTCCTATTTTTATTAAAATTACATATCATATATTCTGTTCTACTTATTTTAAAACCACTTGTTTCTAGGGTATTAGTCCATAAACTTAATTTTGCATTTAATCCTTCATTAGTTTCATCCATTAAAACAATGTAATCAGCAAACAACATCCACCATGGGACCTCCTCCAATCTGTTTAGTAAATTCATCTATGATCAGTAAAAATAAATAAGGGCCAAGAGAACCTTGGTGAAGACCCATCAAAACTATAAAATCCGATGCCTCTCCCACAAGTGTTCTAACATTAGTTATTACACCCTCATACATATCCATATTTAGATTTATACCTGTTGGGGACTCCTCTCTTTTCCAAGACCCACCACATAATCTCCCTGGGGACTCTATCATATAGTTTCTCTATATCAATGAACACCATATGGAGATCTCTCTTCGTCTCTCTAAACTTTCTAGCATAAATCCAAATTAGTGGTTCTCTGATATATTTGTTTCATGCAATAACCTTTGCTCAATTACTCCATCTGAAATTGCAATTCTTGTAGTTAAGCCCAAGACCTTTCACAATCTAATTGAGCTCTACTTTCAATTTTAAAGTCATCCCTAAACCTTAGTCTAGCTAATTAATTCCTTCCTAGAGTCACCCTTGGTCATAGCTGTCCTACATCAGTTTGGTATCAAATGCACGCAATCCTACATCAATTTGATATCAAAACCATTAGTCTTATATCACCATCATTTAAGCTTTGTCCAATCTAATTGATCTCTATTTTCAATTCTAAAGTCATCCCTAAACCTTATTCTAGCTAATTAATTCCTTCCTAGAGTCACCCTTGGTCATGGCTGTCCGACATCAGTTTGGTATCAAAAGCATGATATTAAAACCATTAGTCCTATATCACCATCATTTAAGCCTTGTCCAAACTATATGGGGTTGGCCAGTACAAAAATACAAATCAAGATCCATGATCATAAGAGTTTGGCATAAGTTTTAATGCCAGCATCCAACCTCACACAACCCTCCTATTAGACAAGCTCACACTTGTGGAGTTCTATTAGTCCTACACCAGAGACTCAAAATCAAGATTAAATATTTGCACTTCCTTCAGCCCATTCATCGAAAAAACCTAATAAACTCAAACATACCAATTAAACATAAAATGCCTATCCTTTCTATTTTCTTTGCAATATGACATCTAGATAAGCATCATTCCATATTCAAGAAGAGACAGCAATGATATCTTGATTGTCAATTTGTTTGACTTCTTTTAGGTGAGTCAAGCCTGAAATACAAAATTTTCAGCAATCACTTCATGGTGGCACACAAGAACATAGAACAATAAAGGGGCTACTCCACGTGAACAGAAGGCTGTAAAGAATCAGAACAAATCATTAACTAACAATACTGTTACTCATAAAAAATCATTTTCTAAAATTGATCAAAAAGCCAAATCATTAGCCAATGAATACAATTCTCAGTAGAAAGCCAACATCAGTGTGACCTTCCAGCTGAACCTGACAGAACCAAATGAATTCAGGTCACCTCCAGTTCATTACCAAAATGTTAACTGTAACTACAATTGAGACATGAAGCATGGATCTTTCAAAATAAGCTTTGGCCACAAACAAATCAATAATCAATACCTGCAAGCAACCACCATCTGACACAACAAGTTCAATCACTAAATGCCGTTTTAGTACTGGGAGAACATTGTGGAGATAGAAATCTGGAGAAGCTGAGTGAGGAACCCTAAACACAGGTATCTCTTTTTTCCTTCTTGCTGTTTTGAGATTTTTAGGCAGGGTTTTCACAACTTTAACATCCTTCACTAATGCAGCTGTGAATTGGTCTTCATTGTAAAGGTAGGCAAAGCTCTTGAAATTAGAACTGCACAATGGGATTATAATTTATAAATGATTAAAATGTACAATTATTATTAATAACTTTCAAACATAAACTTATAATAATAGCAGAAATTGTGATATCTATTCTGGAAAGGACACAGTAAAGGAAGACAAGAACCTGATTCCCTTGCTACTCGTGGTTGATTGAATCTCCGGAATAACTAAGGTAGCATTCAGAAGCCGAGCAACCACAACAACATCACAAATCTGAAGGACCATGAAGATCAAACACTTCTCAGCAAACATGAGATACCCAATAGTTAACAAGGCGTAACACAATGAGATTCTCACCGAATTCCTGATTTCATGGAAACCTCCTAGTATGCGCACAAAGATAAAGCCATTGGTTTGTAATCCTGGAGCTGGAATAAATAGTATAGTTAGGAGTTAAGTACTCAGATAAAAAGTTAAAAACGAAACATACTAACTGGCAGCATATAGTTTTTCTTTTATTCTTTTTTTATTCAAATCTTTCATCTGTGCTTTGTATATAGTTGGGACTTCGGACTGAACCCCAGACCTCAAGGTTGTTACGTAAGCATCATCAACCTGCACTAGAATGAAATCCGCTTAAATGGGTGGATGGACATACACAGCGACCCTTTGTGCATGTATAACCCAGTAGGCCAGTAGAGAAAAGTCACATGAGAGTTTATTGGTTAAGAAGGGCTGGTATAAGCTAAATATTTATGGTTCTTCTCATGGCAAACCAAGGCCAAGTGGTAGTGGGGATATTATTCATGGTGATGGGAATAAATTTGTTGCTGCTTTTGCCAGGTTTTATGGGTTCCATTGCAACTTGTATGCTGAAGCGTTGGCATTGATAGATGGCCTTGAGTTGGCCAGGTCTCTAGGCATTCAATGGTTGAAACTTTATTCTGATTCTCAAGTTTTATGCAAAACCGCTAATGGGGATTTGGAGGTGCCTTGGTCTCTTTGGTATTGGAAGCATCATCTTTGGAGTATTCAGGGTATCCCGTCTTCCCCTTGTATAGAGAAGATGCTACATGTATCCCCTTTATTTGGATAGATAATTTTCTTTTTTATTTTATTGAGAATTCCTTTTGGTGTATATTTATATGTCCTATAGTTTTCAAGGTATCCTCCTCGTATAGGTTTTCAGAGGGGAAAGGTATTTACATCCCCCCACCCTTCGTAGACCTTTTTTTTATGATTGATAAAATACATGGCAGCTTCCCCTCCACCAAGAGTAAACTTTGGGGTTTTAAAAAAGAAACAAAAAAAAAGCTGATTGGTTATGAACATGGTTTAAAATATCAACAAGATTTGGAAAAATCAACCCATTTTACTAGGGGTAATATAAAATATCCCAAGAATATTTCTTTCCCTAACATCTCTGATTCATTGTCAATATATTGGCAAGAATTCAAGTTTAATTGATAAACTATACATTTAGGATTTAAATTTTAGAATATCATTAAAACTTCCCAATATTTTGTTAAAATCATTGAAGTTTTTTTTAATCTTTTCCTAAAAGAACGAAGGGGATTCAGTCACTGGATGATTGGCTTGCTATCTTGATATGGTTAACCTACCAAGTCACTATAATTGAAAAGAAAAAGAAAAAAGATTATATTTTTCCTAACAATTCCATGAAGTTCCGTTAATAAATTTCATGCTTTAGAAATATTTCTTGATTTCTTTAGATTTTCCAAATATCTTAGAAAAAATAATGAAATATCCTGAAACTTCTGCCTTTCCATGGCAACATGTCCATTGATATCAAAATTTTGAAGCATGGTTATTGATGCGGCACGATCCGGGCACTCCTAGCTGGCGGCTGACAGGCTCCTTGTTGGCAACGAGTGGCACTTGAGAAGACGAAAGGAAGGATTCCCGGGGGTTTGCCCGGTGGGAATACTCCGATGCTTAAGTTAGTACT